TCCCCCCAACCCCCCCAGCCCGGCGCTCCTGCTCCCTCTGCCGCTCCGGCTGTCGTTCCCGGCTGGATCTGAGCCCGGCTAAATTTAGGAGGATCGATGTCATCCCTCCGCCTCTGCCCCGCGGGGGAAAGGACGGAGCAAAGGTGGCTGGGGAGGAGAAGGGGGAACACGGTGCTGCATGGGGGGCTCTGCTCCCCACCCCCGGCACAGGCGTCCAGAACCCCGGATTTTATCCGGCTCCGAGGCCATGGAAGAGCCCAGGGAGGCTGGAATTTTCCCCGGTCATCCCATGGAGCTTTCCAGCTGTCTCTTGGGGCAGAGCTGGTGACAAGGACACCCATGTGTCCCGCAGGGAAGGAGCTCTGGGTGCCGGGAGCCGGATGGTTTCCTGAGGAGGCTGATGCAGGTGAGGGGGGCAGTGGGAAAGTGGGAATGAGGGTCCGACGAGCAGGACACGGTGCTGGCACCCAGGGGTGCTCCAGTCACACGTGTGGTGTCCCCAGACTGAGGGAGGATTAGGGTGCCCAGCACCCACACCCCGAGAAAACACCTCAAGCTGCATCTCAGGAGGTTTAGGTTGGATATGAGGGAAAGTTTCCTCATGGAAAGGGTGGTCAGGCCCTGGCGTGGGATGCACGGGGCAGTGGTGCAGTCCCAGCCCTGGAAGTGCTCAAAGCTGTGTGGATGTGGCACCTGGGGACACGTTGGTGGCCTTGGAAGTGCTGGGTTGGACTCGGTGGCAGCTGCAGGGCCCTCTCTGATCCCACCTCTGCTCCACTTCCAGGGGAGCTGCCGGATGACGCCGGGAGCTGCCGGTGGGTGAGGGACCCCCCGGTCTCCGCATGGATGGGAATGGGGAGACCTGCCGGCAGTAGGAGCCCAGGACAGCTGGAAAACCCCGGCCTCTTCCTCCGCACGCTCCTCCTCCTCCTCCTCTGCAGGCATGGTAAGGATCCACACGGGCAGCTTCATCCCAGGGACTGAGCCCTGCATTCCAGGGGATCCAAATTCATCCCAGGGACTGAACCCTGTACCCCAGGGGACCCAAATTCATCCTAGGAACCAAACCCTGCATCCCAGGGGACACAAATTCATCCCAGGGACTGAACCCTGCATCCCAGGGGACACAAATTCACACCAAGGACTGAGCTCTTCACCCTGGGGGATCCAAATTCATCCCAGGGACCGAGCCCTGCACCAGGAGACAATTTCTTCCAGGAAGGGTCTCCATGGAAATCTGGAGTGGGTTAGAACAGGGAGACAAGAAGGGTTTCCATGGGAATCTGGAGTGGGTTAGAACAGGGAGACAAGAAGAGTTTCCATGGGAATCTGGAGTGGGTTAGAACAGGGAGACAATTCCTTCCAGGAAGG